ATGGGACGAACAATTGCTCATAATGATTTTCAAATGTTTAAATGGTCATGCTCCATCCTATTTATCTAAGAATTTTGCTTTTAATTATGATTTGCATACGCATTGTACCCGCAGTCAAAGTAAAAACATTCTTATTGAATACACCTGGAATAATATGCAAGGTAAAAGAACTTTTGTTTACCGTTCTACTAAATTATGGAATAAACTCCCGGATGATATTAAAACCAACTTTAAATCTATGACACTTTCAAATTTTACTATTTCAAATCCTCACCAATAATTCCTGCTTAATCTTACCTGATTTTCTCTTACCTTGCATATCCCCATTTTTATTATTCAAAATTTTGCTTCTACCTATGTTTCTTTTATTTTTATATGTGTATATGTATGTATGTATGTGTGTGTATGTATGTATATGTGTATGTATATATATTATATATGTATGTGTGTATATATGTATATGTGTGTGTGTGTGTATGTATATATGTATGTATGTGTGTACATATATATATATGTGTATATATATATGTATATATATATATGTATATATATATATATATTTTAATATATATATATATTTTTTTTTTTTTTAAATTTGTAGTTAAGTTTTTGCTCTCTTTGTTTTTCTGCTTTTAAAATGTTTTTGTAGATAAGAACTGAACCACTTTGGAAATCAGTACTATGTATTGAAAGTGTATATTCAGTATAAAGAAAGAATAAATAAAATAAAAAATGTTAGCAGATTGATGTCGTCTTGTATATAGTTGCAGTCATAGATATCGAAGATGCTTCAATATAACACGCTTCAATATAACACGCAATCGTCCGGAAAGAGACGTATATTGGATTGAACAACCCAAGCACAGTTTCAGTATAAACAAATTTTTGAAAAGCCAGTTAATGTAAAATCAACAGTTATTGTTATCGAAACACGTATATTTCGAGAAATGTTATATTGACTAATAACCGAACGTATTTCACAATTCTAAATTGCATGGCATAGAATGAAAATGGCTACCTTCATTGTAATGGAAAACATCATCTTGGATATCAGTCTCCTTAATGTCTGTAACAGCAACAATCACATTCTTCAAAAAGGTGTTTCTTATTCTGCTTACATTCTCACTTGAAAAATGGCTGAAAAATTTGAAAAACTTTCCATAGATATATGATTCAATTTACTATAGTACTCCATATTTGACTCACTTTCATCTTAATGTCATTTCTTTCCAAGTTATTTGTTGATAAATAGAATATTGTGAGCTCTCATGACAAATGAATCATATATTTAGATAAAAGACTATATAGGCTTTCTTTTGGTCTTTGAATCAGGTTCCTATTTTAAGTACATCCGGAGTCAAATAATTTTGTTAATATCAAGTATTATTTTTATAGCATTTAAATATAATGAAATGAAAACTCATAAGTATAATACACAATCAAGCATATCTTTGCCATGCTTTTATCTACTATACTAGCAAAGTCTAAATCTTTATTTAGAGTCTGTTGATGTGGGATTTGATAAGCATGATCCATCTCTAGTAGATTATCTATGGCGTGTCCCTGTGAAAATCAAATCACACATCAACGTACTCAATAAAGATTTAGGCTTTGCTAGTGGTTATACATTCAGTAAGAATTAATCCCTTAACCAGCCTAGTAGCCTCCAATTATGTAAGATAAAATGTGTATGCATTGTTTTACCCAGTAATTATTTTCTACTATTGTCTCAATCACGTTGAGAAAGTCCTGAGGACAGGACGAAATATTCATGCCTAATAAAATTATGTTCCTATAATACATCAACTGTGAATGATTTTTATCACATGAATGTCTATATTTACATATATTTCACTGGGAACCTACATGCAGCTTATTACCATCTTATCAATGCCTACTT